AGATCAAAAGCATTTGATTCCTAAATGGACCTGATTCTGTGATAGATGATCTCTGCAGGGTTTTTTTTTAGCCTGCTTTCTTGCTAGTCTTTAAAATCCTTGGTAAAAGTTGGTTTATTAGAATTACCAAAAAGATAAGACGACTGGTTGAGTTATCTGAGGATTCATACCAAGTGGGTCACTGACCTTTTTCGCACTCCATAAAAACTAGGACTCAACACTCAACTCCAAACTCGAGCCTCTCTCACCAAACACGGGTACAACAGCAAGACAAAACGTCATCGCAACGTCACAACTGTCTGGTTTCTTCTATAACACTAATGAGCAAGTGAGAGTGAGGGAGAGAGTACCCTGATTAGTCTGGCAGCATCAGTGTCAGACGCTCAGCGGGGCGTCCACAGCTCAGCGATGTGTGTTTGTGTGTGTGTGTGCGTTATGTGTATATTCGAGCATTTGTATGGCTGCCAGTCTCCGCTCTCTGCCTTTTTTTTTCTTGCCATCCCTCTCTTTCTCACTTTCTTCATTTTCCTCTCATTCTCTAAGCTCCAAGAACTCTGATCCTTGCATTCGCTCAGTCTGGCAAATGACTGCAGGGGCTGACAATCCACTGTCAGCATGCACCGCCACAGTCAATAACACTGTCCCATGTCACTGCACTACACTGGCTAAAGCTCACATTTCTTATCCCTCCCAAAAACTGCTGCTTAACAGCCCTTCTCTGCCTTTGCCAATCCTGCTAAAAGCATCGCCATATCCCCCCTACATATCCCCCTTTCCAAAAAAAAAAACCCCACCCTGACACGTTTTTGGTTGTCCAAATGACCAGAACATCCTTGGTTCAAGTGAATGCTGCATAATTTAAGTCCAAGAGTCGCACCCAGTGAAATTTGGAACCGAGTGTGATGTGCTTTTCACGATGTCCCTGAATCCTAAGCAAGTGATGGGTGACTGATCCAGCTGTCTTGCTGTAACAAGATGAGGTCACGTAGGCTATACTCAAATACACATGTGAATCGCATACACACGCATGCATGCAAGGGGGTGCAGTGGAGCTCAGAGTGTTACCAAGAAATTGTAGTCTCCACGATAATCCACTTCTCCTCTATCGTGTTCCATTAACCTCACAGTGTACACACACACATGTTCCTCCTCTCAGCCCGCACAGGCCCTCCGCACACACACACACACACGTCTGCCAGTGTCAGGGCATGTGTTGTCCAGCTCCATTGTATCTGCATGAGGCTGAGATAATGGCATCTGTCGCTGCTCCTTTTGTCAGCGCTGTCCCCGGCCCCTGCTCACTGCTGGTCCCCATTAGCTGGCTGCTGGCCTGCTGGCCCCTTCGCTCCACGCTCTGCTGCCTGACCAGAAAATACAGGAGACGCCTGTCCCTTCCCCTAACTCCCACTTCTGTTATCCCTCTCCTGTCCTCATCCAGCTCCTCCCATTGCTGCAGATTAGGAGTAGTTGGAGTAGTTTTGTAAACTGGAGCGGTGTAAGCGCAGAAGGAGAACACCTAATGGGAGGTGTGTTTTGATTTCATCACATGTTGCGACAGAAGACTCGAGCTTGTGTTTGTGTGTCAGCCGAACAGGAAAATGTTGGGAGATTCCCCGAAAAGCAGGATTTTCTTAGGATAAATCATTTGTTTTGATATGATAATGTGCCATAAAAATCCCTCGTTTTTGTGCTGTAACATTTTCCAACAGACGTGTTTGTGTTAGAGAATAATCACCCATACAAACTTTAGGGCTATTACTAAAATTGTCTTAACCATCAATTGTCTAATGACTTTTTTTTTTTAATTAGCCGACTGATTGTTTGATCTATTAAACATCATAAAATAGTGAACAAAGAAGATAGTTTGTTAGGTTGCAAATTTTCCCACCTGAGAAGCTCGAATAAGCGAGAACATTAGATTTTTTGGACATGGTCTTTGCAAAAGCACTGCCAAAGTGAATCAATTAAACACTTTTTAAAATTACTTTTAAACATATTTTTCTGCTGATCAATCATTAATCTGTTAGTCAACTCATCCCATCAGCTCGAGGACTTGAGTGTGAAATAAGAAAATGTTCTAGTAGTTGTAGTAAAAAAGAAATGTGGGAAAAAAAAAAGTTGCCACCAAATATAACATCTAAATTTAAACATCCAGATTGTGCTGTAATATCTACGATAATGTGCATTTTTACCACCTATGCATTCATCCTTGGGCACATTGCTGGGTATTTCCAATCAGAGATTTAAAAGTTGCATTGTGGGTATCGTACAGCGGCCTTCTGCGCACTTCATCGCCGCATTATGTAACTTTTCAAGTGGGAGCTCTAGTTTTGACCAGAAGCAATGCAGCAGCAGCAGCGCCATCAAAATGACATTAACTTGTCAGAGACATGCTATTGACAGTTCCTGTTTGCAGTCTGCAGCACAGCACTGTCAAACCATCTCTAAACTGTCTATGCTGCATAACTGCACTCACCGGCACTAGCATTGGCTCGCAGTATAACAAACGTAGCCTGTATTATGTCTGTCACCTATCTGAGACGTCTCACTTAGTCACGTCGTTGTGCCCTCATCTCTCATAAGCACGGCTAATAAAACGTAAAGATGGGAGATAGTACGCCGCTGACTGAGTTTTATTAAGAACATAATGGCAATATCACCGTTGTAATGATACTAAGAGATCTAAGATGAAGGGCGGACCGGCGCGCGGAAGTGAGCGTGACATCACAGGCAAAAGTATGTTCTGCTTGCTTTATTTCATTATTGGTTAAGCTTCCTTATTAGGGGCAGGGGGACGAAGCGGCGCTGCTGTTGATAAAGCAGTGCAATTTCAGCAACCGCTACGGGGCCAAATTACGGCTGTACATCACGCCGGCTCCCTCTCAACTGCTTCCTCAACTTCTCGTCAGTCCTCCCTTTTCTGCTCTCAGTCTGGAAGGACTCTGTATGTGATGATGATCTCCATGTTGCCTGCACTGTGAAGCAGAAAGAGCGGCGGCGGAGGAGTGAGAGACGGCGGCTGAAACGGCAGACAACAGCCCCATCTACAGATTGCGTGAAGCCACTGTGGTACTGAGTGGACATCAGATGATCCAGGTGCACAGTGTTGCAGCAAGAGTTTACACCGGGATGGGATTTTATCAATCGTTTTGATCAGGATTTCTTCTACTTGTGACTTTAAATCACTTCAAATTCAGCCAATGTGGTTTTATTATATCTAGATTTGCTGCCCGTGTGCTTACAGGGCAAAGCTACAAGATGCTCAGGGTGAAAAAGCATTAATTAGTGTAAATCATATAGACAAATGTAAGCTTTCGCTCCGCTGTCTTGCGTTATAAGACACTCATTTTGCACACTTTTGCTTAGTTTTTGCCGCTGCAGTACAAGTGCAATATCTGCTTTTTTTTGTAAGCTGCCAACACTGCTGTCTGCAGGCACAAGACACTTTAACCACCAGACAATTTTGTTCCCTCAAGTGCCATTTTTGTATTCAAATTTTGTCTGCGCCTCATTATATTTGTGACTATTTTTGTCCCGATATAATTTTCAGTAAACAGAGAATTTGGCAGCTTTTGTTTTAGTTTTTCAGGTGTCACGAGTAAATAAAAATAAAGTAAAATATGCTCATAATATATACACAGTCATTTAAAGTTATTTATCTATGCACCTATTCTTATTTAGGCGGCCATGACAGTTGAATTTCTCTAAGTGAAATCAATAGTGTAGCTTGTTTATTTCATCTTATCTTAGGCAATAAAGGAAAAATAAAAAATTACAGCAGTTGAAAATGTTTTTTTTTTACTTTGTGAGTGACTTCACTGAAGTGCATCATGGGCTCTGCATCCACGCCGAGGCGCGGCAAAAACCGCTTTACAGTGGGTCCAAATGACCTTCAAAACATCATAAACATGACCTCTCCCCCTACTCTGAATATGAAGCGACTTGCAGATCAACAAACCATCAGGCTGACTGGCCTAACCTATCTGCCATTAGACCGTCGAGATATCACACTTTGCTTTAATTCACCATCTTTCAGAGTGTCACACTTTATATTCCTTGGCATGGGTAGGCTACATGCGGATGCATAATTTATCTCAAATTAGCGCCTATTTGAGTAAGCATCAAAGCAAGGCGGCTAAGGTTGGAGGAGAGCTTAAGGAACCGCAGGGAAACCATCGGCAGGATTAATGCGGGAGATTTTTATAAGAAATTACTGGCTTAATGAAGTGGATAAAAAAGCTGTCAGTGTTTTATTGCATCTAAATTGTGTGGAAGTGGTGTTTAGCTGTCTCGCCTACTCCCCACATAATGGGTCGTGACAGTAGCTGTGAGGCTTATTTAACTTAACTGGTGAATAACTTGCATGGCGAAGCTATTCACTGAGTTGTTTTTATATGCACTAAACCAGTAAAGGGGTATTTTTCCTATCCCCTCTCACTCATTATAATGCCATCTGAACAACAGCCAACTCAAGAAAACTGACAATTAACAGTCTGTAATAAATCGTTTTCTAGCAAAATAACAAAGATTAAAAGGTCAATTAGATTGTTAACGTAAAAAAAAAAATATTCTAGTGACGCAAACTTGACTTTTTTTATAAATTGGATGTGAGCAAAACTCTATGAGTAATCCAGTTTATTATATTAACAATACAGACCCAATAAATGAAGCAGAAGTTCTCACCATTATACTGGCATTTATGGCCCTACTTCACCAGTCTGCATAATTCACCATACAGGTTCAGCAAATGATGCACGCTTTCTGCAAATTTATTAAGTATGAAAACTGGGTTTAGAGAAGAGGGAAAATAAAAAACGATTGTGCGGAGACGTTTGAGCAGTCCTGCAGTGCCATCTTGTGTTGGAGTTTTGCATTGCGGTAGATAGTAAGTCCAACAGAATCCTAACATTTCTACTCTTTGGTCAGTTTTCTTGTTTGAGGTGTTGATTTGGTTACTGTAGGTTCTTTTTTTTTTGCTGTTCAATTAAATCAATAACAAAGAAAATGTAAATTTTCATTTATTTCACACAGTATAGCATCACAATACATGAAATCAATCAATCATCCATCACAGTTCTGATGTGCAACAATGCAGTGGTGACTTACTTTCAGGTGACAAAGAGACTAACTCGATGAGATCTCGGGCCTGTTTCAAGAAGCAGGTTCACTGAGTTACCCGAGTAACTTTGCTGAGTAAAAACCGAGGAGACCTTCTAAGCCGGAACCCGCTGTGTCTCACTCAGGAAAGTTATCTCGCGGTAATCCTGGTTCCTGAGTCAGATTTCTGGTCTTTAGATGCAGCGAGAGTTTTCACATCTCAGCCTTGATATGAAGAAACAGAAAAAAAAATACAGACATGAACACTGTATGTGTCGTTTGTAATGGCAATAATCATGAAAACTGGTCTTTTTTTAATCCCTATTTAATAAATCCAATTGACTTTCATTTGTACTCTTGCCATTGGAAACATTACGCAGCGTACAAGTTAACAACACACTGATGTATGCATGCTTGGAATGGCTACTGTTTTTGTGAATTCTGCTGATTAGAACCAAACTAAATACAAAACATGGGTCAATAATTTTGGGCAGGACTGAAACTCTATTTGGAAAATGCATGCAAGTTTATATGATAATTCGAAAAATCTGGATTCAGAAATCGCTCCAAAAAATCCTGCACCTCAACCACACTTTATAGATTTTTTTTTTTCCTTCAATTTTAATCGTGGCATATCTTTTCTGGCTCTGATTCATTTATTCGGGATTCATTTTGGCAGTGCTTTTGCAAAGACCATGTCCAAAATTTCCAGCCATACTCCTTTTATAACCCATCATAAAGTCAATAAAAAAAAAAGTTTGACTTTCAGTGGGGCGCACACAGAAAAGTTACTTTCGCTGATTGAAAAGAGTTTAATTATGCTAAGCTGCTAATTTTGAGAGAAAGGACATACGTACACTCTTTCTGATAAAGGTCCCTCACTAGAACAGACGAGGAGTCCAAGTCTGAGATCTAATCAAATCCTTTTAACTGAGACGCACACACTCGCTCATACATACATACATTAGATACCTACATACAGGCAGACATGACTAAGTTAGATGGACAGCACAATCCCTTTTCAGTCTGCTCGCAAAACCTTGTTTTCCCTTCACAAGTGAAACCAAAAAGCGCGTTTTGGGCAGCATTCAGGTAGGGTGAGGTGAGTGGTGGTGAGAGAAAGCTTGCACTGCAGTCAAGCTTTATCTACATAAGGCCATCTCTGAACACATGTGGGTTAGAAGTAGCAGTTCACATCCACCGTCTTTTCTCAGCACAGAAGTGGTCGGGGTGGCTTCATCACTTGACAGGGTCCTGCAAACTGACGTCACAGTTTGTCCATATTTAGAGGTCGTTTTTTTTCCCTCCTCACGTTGTCCGTACAGAGGAACCAGCAGCTAATTATCACAGCCTTTGACTGCTTCAGGGAATCCAAAGAAACATTCTGAACCTTTTTTATGTCCAGGTGCAGTTTAGCTTTCCCCGATTTCCCCTCACAGTGCTTTGCATTCAACTTGAAACGGATGCCTGAATTTCCATTCCATCTTATCCTGACCCCTCTGTGCTCCAGTGCTGCTCCCACACTCTCTTGGCTCGAGGCGTCTCTCAGTGCTTTAGGTGCTGGGAGCAAGGGATTGTGACTGGTGTGCTGGTGAGAGCCCCAGTTTAGTAGTCTCTCCTTTACAAGCTCCCTGACCCGTCTCCATCCGTCCTTTCCTTTTACGCTCTTTTTGCGTCTTTTTTTTTTATTTTTTCTTTTGCATCAGTGTCTAGACAGTGTTGCGCGGTGTGCCGTTGAGTGCGACAGCCTTGGTGCAGGGCGAGCCGACCGCCTGTGGGCCCGCTGGACGCTGAGTGGAAACACCCACCTCAAATACTTCATGGATGGCCTTCCGGAAACAATGGAAGTTGTAGTCTATTAATCCTGGGGGCGGCAAAAAAATGTACTTCAGGTACTTGACATTTGTGAAAGTCTTGCTTCACATAAAATAAAAATATGTGCAATGTCTATCACAATCCTGGGGTACTTCAATATGTCAACACTATTACGAAGACATTTTTTCGTGATGTTAGGCTCTTCAGTATTGTTTGGGAAAAGGTATTAAAAGAAACTCATCACTTAACTTTCATTTATCACACTTTCACAGATTATATTAAACTAAATTTTGCAGGAAAAAAAAACACAATCAACTTGATTAAGACAGAATAAACATCTTATAATCATGTACACTATTGTAATTTATCCCAATACTCAAACAGACAGGTGTTGGTTTACCTCTACAGTCTGTTTGGAGACATTGTGTTGTAGATTGTGCCCTTGTCGCACTGCACTGTAACACCTTATAATGTAATTTATGTGTACGTATTAAAAAAAAGAAGAAGAAGAATCGCCACACCAAACCAAAGCTTGAAAACAGCAACGACGAGCATATCTCAGAGTGAACATTTAAATGAACTGATATTGTCATTTGAGGCATTTTGATTTGGGCTCAGGCACATGGAGTGTAAAAGCCTTCAGAATTTACCAGGCAAGTTGGGTCTTGCTCAATAAAAATAAGCAATTGACGTGCATTTTAAGAAGGATCCAGTGTTGGAAGCTTTTTTTTTTTTTATTATTATTAAGTTATTTTTTTGGCCTTTCGCGCCTTTATTATTTAGTACAGTGAAGAGAGAGAGACAGACAGGAAAGTGGGGAGAAGAATGGGGGAAGGACCTGCAGCAAAGTGTCATGAGCCAGATTCAAACTCACTACCACTGCGTCGGGGACTTTGGCCCCTGTACATGGGACGCCAGCTCAACCAGGTGAGCTATCGCGGCGCCCCCCAGTGTTGGAAGCTTGACCCTTACTAGAGGCTAATAGTGATGACATCAAGGCCTGCTCTCCTTGATTTTCATAATTCTGTCTCTGTCCCCCAGCTTCACAGAAGTGCAAAAATAAATCCTGGGATTTTCTCGTCAATGTACTGAAGCATGTTATATTGTACAGGTGTGCTTGTTTTGACTTCACACACTCTGTATACGTGTCGACACGCTCTGTGGACACACGCTGTGACATCGTGGGAAGCGATGAAAACAACTGACTGCGGTTCATTCGGCTAATGATGATGTGGCTTCAGAGGATCACGGGTTCGTCTGACCGCCTACCTTTGCGCTCAAAGCTTTCCTCTCGCAGGATGCAGACAAGGGCCAGGAACTTGGTGACCTCTTTCAGGTACAGCACGGTGGTGTTGTTGAGCTTGATGATAGCCATGGACTCCTTGTCATAGGCGCTGCCACTGCCGTCCTCCCTCAGACTAGAGCAGCGCAACACAACACGGTGATGTTCAGGGAGGAATGGGAAATAAACTGCAGCTTGTCTATGAGGTCATTAATTGCGCATAAATTAAGTTATGCTTCAATGAAAGCACCCTCATACAACACATGGGTGAACTCTGTAACCTACAGCGTTAAGAAATTACAAAAGATTTAAGTAAATATGTTTTTTGAATATTTACTATGCAAATTTATACAGAAAGTCAATTCAATATCTACTCTATAGACAGTGCTGACTACATGTTTTAATTCACTTATTATAGAGTTTATGTTTATCAGAGCAAAGAGCACTCTCATTACTCAACTCTGACCCCCTTTCAGGTACATTACTAACATAGAAACAAACAAACAAAAACACTTACCCATAGATGCAGGAGACATCGATCACCACATCGATCATATCACAGCACAGCTCATAGGACTGCATGTCTACAGGAGAGCTGTCTGTGGCGATGTAGATCTTACTGACCACGTCGAACAGAAAGGCCTTCTCTATCCCTGAATTCTGTCAGAAGGAGAAAGTAAAAAAAAAAAAAAGACAGAGAGCAACCGTCTGTTACAAAGAACATTTGATATGGAGGCAGTAGAGCAGGGCAATATGATGACACGAAAAACAACAAAGCTATTGAGATTCTACTAAAAAAAATTCAAGTATGGTTTTAATGGGATGGATGGATGGATGGATGGATAGATGGATAGATGGATAGATGGATAGATGGATAGATAGATATGATAAACAACTAATTGTTAATTGTTTTAGCCAGAAAAGTCACTATATTTTCTCTGTTGTGGTTTTTATCCATTTCACTGTCTGTGTACAGTTTTATTGCCAAAGTCATAAATCTATCAGAAGGACTGCTTTATGGAAACTTGGATTTTTATATGATCTTTGACCAATGAGATAAAGTATATTAACTGTCGGGTATTTAATTAGCTCCATTAAACCCTGCCTCAGGAAGATCTGTAGTCAGCTTACATGTTGGGCTCTGATTCAGTGAGCTGCTATTACATGCATCACTTAAATTAAAGTCCAGTATTCATGTTAAAGTTTTGACCTATTTTTGATCATAATAAGGCCCCAAATAAAAGCTCCAAGTACATCTCATCATACGTATTAATACATGTAAGTATTGCCCACAAGCTAAAATATGTACAAGGCTTTACTTATTGGTTTAACTATACGCCATCCAGTCACATGTGTGCCAACAGATCACATACACACAATCAAAGTCAGAACTTTCTTCATGTTTCATGACCTAAATCTTTTAAATCAATCCAGACATGACCTTAAAGAAGAGAACAAAATTTGATATTCTTTCCAGTATTTTTTTTTTCTATCTCTACATTATGAAATACAACCTCTGTTCCAAGTTTCCACAGAAATGAAGAAAATGCTGACAGGCTGGTCTGGACCTTTCACAAGTAAATACACGCTGCTCAGTCGGCAGTTTATTATGTACACAAAGCTAAAACGGACTCAGTCTAATACAGCAGTTCTGAAATATATCCGGCTTCGATGAAGGTCACGCTGTCCACTTTTTGTTAAATGAGGTGTGGATTCAACTGTTTGTTTATTTTTGAGAATGTAGTTTGTGGTGTTGTTGAATTGATTTGCATTTTACAGATAAGTGTCATTTAGCCAACCATCACTGATATGAATGGGGGGGGGGACAAATTAATAGAAACACTCTATTTGAAGTATCTGAACTTGTTGGATACAGTAAATCTTAGCAAAGTAGAAAGTACATTTGTTTCCTTTTCAAAAGCCATGCTCTGAAATAAATCTGATACAGTCGCCTTTTGGATGTTATTAAGAGGGCCAGAATTCAATTGTAGTGTGTGGAACTTAGGATTTCTCTGTATTGCGTTACAATAGAGGGACAGGGCACAAATGTGTCCGGAGAAGGCTGTACGGGGCATTGGAGGAACTGCCAACCATAAAGTGGCTTCAGGGCTGCCAGTGACTCACATCATGAAGGCTGTCACACATAAATCACGCTGTCAGTGACAAACTTCACAAAAAAATAAAAAAAGCTGTTTTATTCACAAAGAGTTAGCTTTTGTCTACTTACAGAAATGAAGATATTTAGGAGGTTCTCCAAGGTGGGGAGCTGCGGGATGAGCTTCTGCACCACTTTGCTGAAGGCCTCGAAGATGGAGTGGTCATAAATACTCGTCAAGTAAAAGCTGAATGAGATACACAAGGGGGAAGTGAATAAGCAGTTACTCGCAGGGAACACTTCTCGCTTCCTTAAAATGCATATGAAACCAGGTAAAAATACAGATAGTCACGGGATCACATGACGAACAGATGCAGAACTGTAGAAGAGAGGTCTGTAATCAAAGCATTTAAGCCTGATTCAGACATAAATCCACAAGGACAGAATAAAAATGTTAACTTGGCACAAAAACGGTCTTCATATGACCACTGCCAAACCGGGCACACATGACTTATGGACTTTGGTTACTGAGACATATAAATAAAAAGGTCAGTGTCTGGGGAAGCAGGAGCTTGAGCCACACACTTGGCAGAAGCTCAACTCTACAATGCATTACAGTGAAGAAAGCGGCAGAGAGCCACAAGGCTGAGAGGAGGAGAAAAAAAAAAGAAAAAGAAAAAGTGCTCTTTGCTCCACTATATATCCTGGACCGCTCAGGCTGTCTAACCGGAATAAACAACAATCTCACCCCACATAAAACACAGCGGATCATGTGCCAGCGCGGTCCTAATATCAGCAGCGAAGCCGAGCGCGTTCAGCCAGGACAGTCTGTTTAATGTGGTACACAACACATTTACTATCCACACAGTGTGCCAAGTCATTTGTATTTGATTAGAGCTGAAAGAGGCAACTTCATAATCGAGTCATTTATCGATTGATCTGTGTAAAAAAAAAAAAAAAAATGTCCTTGTACTTTACAAAAAATCTCATAAAATAAATTGTCTGACTGAATTGCTAAATAAATGAATGAAATGAGATAATAAAGGTGATCAAAATTATCATCTAAATGTTATTTGTGTCTTTTTTTTAGTTGTTATGGATTCGTTTATTAGTGACAAACAGCCATCAGTGTTTACTTACACGTTGCCCTTACATTTCTAAAAAAGATCCACAGAAGACATTCATTTCAAATCAATTAACAATTCTGTCTTCAATTACTGCAAAAGTTGACTAATCTATTGAGGAAGTAATCATCGTTGCACTCCTGAGGCCCCACTACTTCATGAAGTTATTCAAATTGTCAATATTTATGTGTGTCGATACAGAAATCAACAAACCATGATGTGAACTATGTACAGTGACACTACGGAACAAGAACCAAACAGTGGACGTGCACTTTAACCTTCTTTCTATTTCTAAAGTGCGTCCGCCCTTTGGAGGCAGAATCACAACAGCTCTGGTATCCGAAGCTCAGGTCACTGTGGCTTCATTAGGAGGTCAAAGAGGAATCTCACAGGAACACCAGGGGTATGCAGACCATGTAGCAGAGCACAGGCTACTGTATATGTAACAGTGAAAACATGGAATGTAATGAGGAGTCACGATTAGCATCAACACCAAATGGCCAACAGCATTAGTAATAACAAATGATCTCAGTGTCTTCTCTACGGCATACAAACAAAACCCCATATTTTCTACTGCAGCTGCTGAAAGACAGGCCACTTTGGTTGAACTGAAACATGTTTCGAAAAGCTCCAACTACAGCTTAAAAGATGTAGAGCAAGTGAAAGAAGTTTTGTCATCAATTTCCTAATTTTGGTCCACATTTATTATCATTGGGGCCACAATTATGACATTTAACTTTTCTGCTCATGGACATCTCACATCATATTTTGGATCAAAGTTTCCAATTGGATGATAAATTACAAGATCTCGCCCGGGGTCTTACTGTGTGGAGTCTCCATGTTCTCCCTGTGCAGCGTGGGTTCTCACCGGGTGCTCCGCATCCTCCCACACAGTCCAAAAACATGTTGAGGTTAATTGGTGATTCTAAATTGTCCGTAGGTGTGAATGTGAGTGTGCTTGGTTGTCTGTCTCTAAGTGTAGCCCTGTGATAGACTGGTGACCTGTCCAGGGTGTCTCCTGCCTTCACCCTGAGTCAGCTGGGATAGACTCCAGCCCCCTCACAACGCTACAGAGGGTGTATAGACAATAAATGGATAGATGGACGCCTCAGGGTCAGATTCAGGTGCCTGACATCGGGACTGTTTTTGAACACAGTATAATTTTCACGTTGGGAGTGGGAATGACTGGCTGGGGGGTGGCACAATGTTCTTTACTAATACTGAATTAGCTCCAAGTAATCAACAGTTAGAAATAACCAGTCTACCTCCTTGTATACGTAACAACCTGATCTGCATAAAGTCTGTTCGGGGAAAGGCAATTTAAACAAGACATGTACAGTCAGTTTACTTAGAAAGGGAGTATGAATTCACATGTATAGCATCTGTGTCATAAGATCCATTATAGAAGTGACTTCTCATTCACTATGAACACAATAAGGATAATAATGTATGCACTCACATCAGACTGGCGCCAGTGTAAAGTTAGGGAGAACACAGACAGTAGATCTTGTGGTCTGAGACGACCAAAGTTTCCATCCAACATATTGGTAAACCTCACATCCGGAAAATGTTTCAGATGTAAGTTTGCCCTCTGGCTCATGCTTGTTGAGGATTATCACCCAGTGGGATCATATGCTGATGTGAATGTACTGACTGTGTTAAACCACAGACCCCATAATTCAAATTACACAATGAGGCACACAGAGAGTAAAGTATAGGTTGTTTCTCTGCCACTGTGCTGTTCACACGTTAACGGAAATCAAACGAGGTCTAAAAATATATGAAACACGCCATATGAGATGTCTGAGCCTCATCCACTCCATCAAGTAAAATAAACGTCATTGCATCTGGTAAATGTAAGTTGACTGAAGTCAGCTTTGTCAGGAGAACCTGAATCTGGAAATGCTCTTTGGAGGGGATTTGAGGTTTTTGATTAGCTGCTGTACCAACCTGTTCCAGCTCATTTTTCATAAGATTTTAATAAATCTGTTGCGCCGCAAAGTAGCATTACTGAGTGTACAAGACACTGTGTGCTATGGGTTGAAATCCAGCACCACCATGCAGCTCTGTGTCTGATGTGTCGTTTTGTTTTTCCAATTACTGATGTTAGGCAGCACATACAAACAATATATGGCTGATTTTTTTAACTTTCTCTTCGTTGCTTCATTGTTTTTTGAGGCCTTTTGACTCCTCTACAATGTCAGTAACTGAGCGACCTCTTCGCTGCACTGTGGCTGTGCATGTGTGTGTTATTTAAAAATAAAAAATAATGCGGGTTAGAGACTCTAAGTGTGCCCGTATGATGTGACGTATTTTCCTAATGGATTAAACCCATGTGTGTTATAGACTTTTTCCACATCTTACTTATGATTATGGATGTATTTTTCCTTATTGTTCCTCCTCGTAATAAGATTCTAATACTTGGAAAAAGAAGTGCCTCCTTGTGTGACTTTTATAGCCATAAAACAATGACAAATGATAATGACACTAGGATTAAACAGACATAAATAACAGTTGTGGGACAGCAATGTGATTGAATGTTTTAGTGTAAGTCCCCATAAATTAAAACAAATCTCTGTGCCAACATCCTCAGTGATTGCACTGATAGCAGGGCGGACTATCTTTCTCCCTGTACAGATGTATGTGTAAAATATTAAAACGTACCTCAGATGCAGCTTCTCTAAGCTGGCGTCTGCCAGATCGTCATTAGCTCTCTGATGAATGTCTCTCTGGGTTTCAATCTTGTGATCATCTGACAAGCCGTCCACTTTGTGGATAAACACCTCGAAGTTGATCTCTGGATTGACTCTGTAGGCCCGTGACACAGTGAGATGAAGCCTGCCCAGAGCCTCCACATAGTCATCCTACCACAAGAAAGATAAAACGTTAACAGATAAAGTGAATAGAACAGAGTATAAATAAAGGATGTCGCAAAAGTCAGAAAGCCCCAGTTTTAGATCATGGGCATTTTCTGTGACTCCACTCATTCACACAATTAGCATTCGAAAACTACATTTTTGCAATACTTTTAGCTCTGGAATTGTAAGATTAAGACAAAAACAACTAGCTGAAAAAATACTTGAAGAATGTGAGACTGTAAACTAATAATGCAGTTCTGAAAAATAAATCTCTTACAGAAAATTGTAACAACAATCAGTTTAGATTAAACTTTAAAGCTGCCACAGTTAATATTTTAATGCAGCAGCTTGTTCTTATGGATAAAAGCAAATTCCAATCTCTTAAGCTAATTCTCGTCAAGACGCTGAACAGGAAAATCAAGACAGACTTGTCATCAACGCTGCTACAGTGACAACCCTCTGATGAGCCGAGTCCAAGGTGATTATTAGTTGTTGCTCTAGGACAGATGTAGGTGTGCATGCTCACAAGTGAAGCAGGTATGAGGAAATGTACTTCTGCACTGTTTCCCAAAACAGCCAGAGAGAACCAGCTCTCCTCTCATATTGCTGTGTGAGCGACTGCTGAAGCAAATTGAATCAGATGCACCTTGAGCTCAAATAAACCCTGCAATCTGATCAGCTGTGGCTTACATTGTTGCTGAGATTACTTCTTGAAAGCACTTATGGTCATGTGGATAGCACTGGCATAAAAGCCATGGCATGTAATTGTCTTCTATTTGAGCCACTCTGGCTTGTTCATCACTGAATTCATTTGAGAGGGCGGAAATGGGCTTCTGCTTTGGCGTGAGCATGACAAAAAGTTTGCTTTCACTATGTGTACAGTTTCACCTTAACGAAATACAAGTGAAAGAGATGGAGAATATGGTTTGGTTTTGTATTTGTTAAATGAGTCATAACCGAGAAGGAAAAAGGAAACGCAAGCATGTTCAGAAATGAAAAACAACAACAACACAAAGGACTGCTGTGAAACAACAACTTCCTGTGGTAATGGCGACGTCAAACCAAGATTATTTGTTTCTGTTCTTCACCTGAGCATCAATGACAAATATCAAAGCTCCGGTTCCTCTGAAGATCATCTCGTAGTCAAAGGTAGGGTCAAAGAAGTCCACCTGGCCAGGAAAGTCCCAGATCTGGAAGTTGACGAAAGAGCTGCTGGAGATGTCATCCTTGTAGATCTTGTTGGTGCTTTCCAGAAACAAGGTCTCATTGGGAGACATCTTGTGGAACACCACCTGAAATCAGAATTGTGCTTGTGTTTAAGTCGAGTAAATGCAGATCTGGAATATTATTACCAATAAAAAAGATGCTATATACTAGTGGATACAAGAAAGAAAAGACATTTGTGCTCAGCCAACCGTGGGCCAGGAACTAATGAGAGAACGGCTACACTACTTGTCAGACCTTTTAAGAAATTACAGCTCTGTAGTCCTGTCTTCATCTGCCTAGTTTAAGCGTTAAAATAACCCAACACCTACAAATCTGCAAACCTGTAGGGGTAGGGGCACTAGTGGCAGGAAATTACCGTCTTTTTCTTGGCATTTTGCCTTTATTTATTGGACAGCTTACAAGAAAAAGTACAACAAACAGCAAAGGTCCCCAGAAAAAAATCCAATCTGGGACACTCAGCTTATACAATACTGACCATAATCACCAGACAAGCAGGCACTCCTGATTAAATACTGAAATCCATTGCTATTGATTTAGTTTTGTTTGCAGAATTTTCCAGTTTTTCTTCAATTAAAATCTTAAAGCATTTGAGCTCGTCCTTTGCCGACCTTTACAAACCCATCCTGTCATCATTAAACTATTTATGAATACACCAAATGCATATAGTCCTATATATTAAGTACTTTTTCAATAAGTGTTTATGAAGTTTCCTTGGCTAGTTACACAGATAGTGATTTATTGCAAATTGCTGCCTCACAATATGTTGTATTTTGTAAAACGTCCGTCATCAGAATAATTGGTTTTCATGGGAAACATTATCACACAAGTGCTATATTCTGACTTGTGGTAACATTCCAGCGCAAAGACATCATCCGGACGTCACATGTAGAACAAGAGGGAAAAGGGCAAAATACAACACTCATCTGACGCAACACACGTCACTCTAACTCAGCAGTTTTCAGCTGCGTGCGTTCAAACCGCAGACAGTGAGGCTGAAGCTGTAAATTGAACTGTTGTCAACTATTAATCAGGGTCTTGGTCTGATGAAGAGTCTTAACACGTAGAAAATAAAATGTAGTGGACCTGGGAGTGTATTCTCCACTGCTGCCATTTTGAATCAATGTGTGGGCCTCTGAGGTCACAGGCCTCATGAACCAGCAAAAAGCCAAATCACATGTTTTTCAGACCAAACTGGAGGCTTACAGGGGAGCATTAATCTTGGACTTGAGGGTGTGTGGATTATAGCTAACACAGTATAACTGCGAGGGTATACTTCAGTGTGTTTCTTTACTTCTCTTTCCCCGGGCTGTGTCTGTAGGATAGGCTCTGGGCATGTCACGCTATATCCAGCGTGGTTCTACTTCCACCTTGAATTTTAACATCAATAATAAAATATCATGGAAGGCACAACTGCATCTCATCTATTATTAAACCACAGTGCCAGTCTGAAAGTGGCAGACTTGAAAAATCATATTGTGAAACAGCTGACCAAGCAGCAGGAGTTACCTGAATCAAACAAAAGAGAAATAGTGTTTAAAACACCGGACAAAGCGGGCAACAAGCCCAAGTGACCGGGAAAAGCCCCAGAGTCACTGCATGCCAACTGTTTCTTTGGAATCTGTCGGATTACAAAGAATTTTATTATTTGATTTTATACTGTGGTTACAATATTATTCCTAATTAAATCACAGCCAATCACTACAAATACAAACTAATTATCAGTCTAGTTCTACAGTCAGGTTTTAATGCAGTTTTATTGACCATCTTCAGTAAATTAGGGAGATAAAAGATGACGATTTAGGAGGAAAACACTGTTGAGCAGCTGTTTGTCAAAGCAAATTCCGAGCATTTTCGTGAGCATGCTTCTTGTTTAGGTCATCATCTGCTAAGAAGATCTCACGACGATCTGTGTCAGTATTTGAGTGGCTTAACAGTTGGGTGTGACAGGTTCATAATGCACAGGGGCGGCTGATGGGAGGTCAACAGGGCTCCAACTAATTAGTTTCCCCTATAACCCCTGTCCTGACCAGTTATGTTAAGCCGGCCGCGACTTAAACGGAAACAAAAAGATGTTGGCCAACTGCAGGTGCTGCGCTGCTTTACAACAAAGTGTTGTGACTTGCAGAATGAAAGGTGTGGTCGGTTTGCTGTCATGTGAAAGCTACACATCAAACCGGCCCTATGCCTCAAAGCTGGGTGGGACGAAGATATATTTGGCATGTTGGACAAGTTGTTAACTGAACAGTCACATGCTGTTTGTCCACATATCAGTAAAGATGCACCGAGCGTCTCTGTCCACCTGGATAATGATTAACTGCTGAGGCTTCGCTAACGTTAGCTAACACTGAATGCTAAGTGGCCATTAGCTTTTTATTGCAGTTCTTCCACTCTTACGTAGCTAGGCATGCTGTCTGCTGATTGATAGCAATCATCACTTGCGACATGCTAAACTACTCGCTAGCTATTTTGGCTAACGTCCCATTTACTCGCGTGAAGCAGAGGAAGGCGGCGCTCGCCGCGAAAAGCTAACAGTTTAACATCTCCCCCTACCTTCTGTATCGATGATTTGCCACTTCTTCTCAAACCCATAAGCAGGATTCTTGGTTTGCTATCGGATGGTGCCGGGCTGTCCTCGATGTCGGCCTCCTCTTCACCATAACCGAAATCTTTGGGGAATGAGTCCGCAACCCCGTAGCTGTCAGCCAGCTGTTCCACCTCGTACTGAATCGACATTTTGACCTAACGACGGTCGCTTCCCCTATTCCCCCCCTTAGTTGTCGGCCACAACACCCGTGTTTGTATCTTACGGTGGGTACGCACCACAAATTAACGTCGCAAAATTAAAAATAGTTTGTCAATAATGCCCGGGCTACTTGCAAACACAGAGCGTGATCCCACACATTTCCCTAGGATTTCCTCTCCCCTGAAAAAAACTCGCCCTTTGGTCCCGCCCTTTGATTCTGATTCGCTGCCTGGATTACAATACGGAAAATGATTGGTCGAACAGCGTGTCGCTCTTCTGAGGTTTGCCGCTGTCACCTGACTAGTACTCAGACTTGTTTTGTGACCTATCACTCGAATGAGAAGCCAGTACACACTGTTATCGCATCTGTTTAAAGATACGTTGAGTTTGTAGCAATAATACAATCGCCCTACTTTTTGTTTGCTTAAATAAAAAACATTTGACGAAGGGTGTTAAAAACAAACCAAACAGAAAGTGGGCAGTTATGGTGTTATGCGATGTTGCCAGTAGATGGAGGAAGATATCCACGACAGAGAAGTGGAGACATTTAAGGTCACGCTAAAATGTGGGAACTTATTTTTAAATCACTGTGAAGATTTAACAAAGTATTTTTTATGATAGATAATTTGCTAAACAGTGTATACAAAGAGGAAGAAAGAGTAGAAAAGAAATTGGGAGGCATATGTCACACTTTTTCACTGAGGTCCATGACATGCAGGTTTTCCCTGCAACCATTAGAAAACATAACATTTGTCAAAAGACACAGCTGAGTTAGCGCCTTGTCGCCTGGTACATATTTATAGTTTGGATATTGTTTTTAAATACCAATGCTATTAACCCGACGACCCCAGCGAGATGCAACCAGCCACCACCGCTTGTTGTTGATAGAGGTGCTTACTTTTACGAGGAACACCTGAAGGCAGCGTCGAGCCCAGCGGACCCGTTGCTTGAAGGAACACGATAAACGAAAGTTAAGTCCTGAGCCGGCAGTTTGGACTCCGACATCAGGAGGGACACAAGAAATAGTAACTCCCCGTAAGAAGGAAGTCAAATTTACAGGCGACATCTTTTATGGCGCATCATAGAGTAAGTGTGTCTACTTTGTGTTACTCTAATGTTGTTGAGGAACTGTTTCTCGTTCAGTAACTGTTAGCTAGCTAATGGTAGCAAGTTGGAGGCTCAGGAGGGAGACACCTGTGACAACCTCCTATATTGATAAACTTTAATTTATTACACCAAACACTCGAGAACCTGACAGATATTGTCAGTAAACAAACCCCAGCTGCTTCTCTGTTTATTTGTTTATGTGTGTGTGTTGCAGGTCACAGGTGAAAATCACTAACCACAGTTTATCTCTTAAATCTACACACAGCTTTGTGATTAGTTGCTAATAAAAAAAAAAATGTCTGTCTTTTCCTCTTGCAGGGTCCAGATCCCAAGAGGGAACAGTTTCGGAGATACCTGGAGAAAGCTGGTGTTATTGACAGTCTTACCAGTGGTATGGCACAGATGTGTTGTTTTTTTTTATTAAGCTTGGGATCTATTTACAAACTTCACTTTGTAATGGAAAGCAAATGAAGCAAGCTAGGAGAGTTTTTAAGCAATCTATAGAGCAGAAATACAGATCTGGGAAGGACTGGATTGGGATCAGACTGTCTTAATAATTTGGACAGGGCATCATTTGAAAAGGGTCTCCACTGCCAGTTGACATTTTAACAGGACTCATGTTGGAATATAAAAATGGAATTCGACATCACCCTGTTTCTGTGTTTCACAAAATACACTAAGTTTCTCAATTAGATTCAAGTTTGTCTCAACATGAGAGCGCAATATATGGACTGTAATAAATTTTGTCCAAATCATAATTTAACTCAGGAATTACCTGATTACAGAATAAACAAAAGTAGCTGCCAACAGTCACAGATTTTGTCAGGAAGTTTGGTAACCAGCCTCATTATTATTCCTCAACTCAAGTGCAACTTTCTTTAACCCTTTCTTCTCTTGGATTTCAGTCCTAGTGTCTTTGTATGAAGAACGAGAAAAGCCCAGCAATGCTCTAGAGTATCCTTCTAAGCACACAACATGACTCTCATGACTCATTTGTGTGTTTGCAGAAATGATCTCTTGGCTTCATTGGTACGAAGTTGAACCTTTGACTGAATGTCATGCGGCCTCCTGCCACTCTGAACAACAATAATAATGAGAAATGCTCAGAATTGACTTGCTTTAAGTTCTTTAACCAGCTGCTCCCAGATTTGTCAAGCAGCACCTCAGTGCTGTGGGCCACCCTTCACCAGACACTGAGACGCTGCAGCAGGAGGTGATTGACCTGAGGCAGAGGTGTGCACGTCTGGCAGAGGAAAACAAAGACCTCAAAACTAGGGTACGCCTTTTGCTTGTTTGCATAACAGAAATCACGTGATTCATTTCAGACAGTATACTCGTCAAAGAGCCGTACTAATGGTAAGATGGTGTCGCTGAAAAGATTTGCTCTCCTTCCCTATTTTTACCCAGTCACACCACAAGGGAGCAGTCTCTCACCAGCTCTCACCACTCGTCATGCAAATGAATTAAGCTCATATGTATTTCCAGAGTTAAATTCACTGATTTGATCACTGAAGAAGAACTATTGGGAGTGAGTTTGCTTCAGTTCTCTTCAGCTAAATAAATGACAAACTAAAGAAATTATTTTTAATTTCAGAAAAAGCAGAAAGAAATACCAGAAAGTACCCATCATTGGTGACTGTACTGAAATTAGTATAAACACTCAAACTGTCTGGGGCGCTGCTATAGCTCACCTGATTGAGCTGACGTCTCATGTACAGGGCTACAGTCCTGATGTGGAGGTCATGAGTTCGAATCCCGCTTATGGCCCTTTTCCACATGTCCTCCCCTCATTCTTCTCCCCTACTTTCCTTTCTCTCTCTCACTGCACTATCAATAAAGGCACAAAGGCCAAAAAAATTACTTAAAAAATAAATAAATAAAAATACTCAAACTGTCACGAGGCTTCACAGGTGTCATTTGCAGGAGAGGATAGATTTGCAACAGTTACACTTTATAGAAGCTATTTCAGGCAGTTTGTTCTGGATGGATTGTCTGTTTTTGGCATATTTTTCTACCTGTAGTTAAAAAGAACAAACTCAGTGAGATTCTTTCTATCTCTAGTGAGACGACAACAACAACACAATATGTCACTGCTCAGGAAAGAGCATGTAAACCTCAATGATGTGTAGTGAAGGTCCAAGGTGTAGCTCTGTTTAAACCCTTGTGATGTGTCTTTTCTTGTTGTACTTTGTTGTGGGTAAGTTTGATGCCATCTGCTCTGTCTTCAACTGTATTGTATTGTTCTATCAGAATCAAAAGGAATACCCGATAATGAACAATCTACTTTCTTCTCTATCTCTCCAGCTTCGGCGTCATGAACCCGTATCAGATAACGGAGGCACAGCTAACTAGACCACAACTGCACTTTGGTGTCATGGATGGATTATTTGTTTATTTTGCCGTCACGCTGCCATTAAAAACAAGACGACGCTGTTAAGTAAAAGGCTGTATTTGTATGTAGCTGCGCTGTTTTGTCTTTTGTAAATCTTAGTGTGTACATTGTTTCTTAGAATATATCTTATTTTGTACATGCATGTATATATGTTCTGTTTTTTGTTGTTAACTCAGTGCTTGACAGAAAGTGTCCTCCCACATACATGGCTTGTATATTTTTCTGTCCACACCCTCTGCTCATTGTGACAAAAACAAGCGTTATTTTCAAGTATCTGGTGTAAGTATAGAGTTGTTTACAAAAAAAAGTCACAAGTAAAATAAAGATCAGTCTTGTAAATACTGTCGTATCACTGATTGAACCGATGTGTCAACAGCAACATATCAATCTGGGATTTATTTTGGTAAATCACAGGATATTGATACGAGGGCTGCTATGGCCAGTTTGCTGTCATTACTGGACAAAATCTCCTTTGGAAAGAAACCAATAAATGAAACACACAACACAAATGAAGACACTGGGGACCAAAGAGATTTTTGTTTTCTACCAGATTTTAATAATATTCGTTTATCTCATCAGGGACAACTGTAAAGAGCACAGAAAACAAACAGTATTGTAGTTGGCAGGACAGTACTGCTGTGTTAGCTGTTTATTGATATGCTCGGGAATCCCATGGCGGTATTGAACAGTTAAGTTGACACAGAACACATTTTTGTTGTTGTGCCTCGATGTCGACGACAGCTGTGGCCAGTGGGAGTAGATTTTCAGGTTGGCCGTTCAATCCTTGTGAATCTCTGGGATGTATTGAGCGACTTTCTTCAAATTTAGCGCTAATGCTCAGTTGAACTTCATATATTTTTGTGGCCAAAGTCACTGTGACCTCACCAGAACACATCTTTGGCTATAGCTCAAGGATTCATATCTTAATGATGGCAACATTTCACACAAATGGAGCATAAAATGAAATGATGAAAGATTAAAAATTAAAAGATTCTTTACCTCACTGTGACATTATAGTGTTTCTCTGGCTGTTTTTGAACGCCATAACTCAGGAACAGAAGGAAAGATTTTGACCGTATTTCTTATTTACTCAGACACTGAGTTGTCGAATCTTGAGTGGTCACCATGAAACTATGGTGGTTGTAAAGCTCCTCTGTGCTACCAGGTTATCCATTTGAAGCATTGCTTACTGTAACTTTCTATCAGAATCAGCTTTATTGGCCAAGCACATGAACATATACAAGTTTCACTACACATATATGAATCTGGACAGATATGGATGTAAACTGCAACTTAGCTGGTTGGGCGAGACGTACGATTAAAAATCAGTAATTGTAGTTGGAGACTGAAATACAGCCGCCATGCTGTGAAACGTTGACATTAAATGAAACTGCAAACCTCATAAAATAATCTTCACTCAAAAAATATCTTGTTTTCTTTAGTCCCACTCTACAGTACAAATATACCCAATGCGACAGGACAGATAGTTTGAATAATTAAATAATATCTACATTTCTGCTATGCAATGCCAACTCTGTTCTTTTCAGTGTCACAGTTATCACAAGGAAATATGCATTCAGGAAACCAGCAACAGGCCTACAGAGCAACAACGGATGATTGGAGTAATGCTGCCAAAACACCAACTCGTATATGTGGCCCAGTGCAGGCAGCCCTAGTCTAAACCATCAAGATGTAAAATACAGCTGTTAGCATATACATTAACTACAGCTACATGTATTTCATGTTAATTTGGTAGATAAACATGCAGTTATTCACAATAGAAAACTGATTTATTCCAAAAAATAGTTGAAAAAAGTTTGAAATATACAATTAAAAAGTCTCTGTCACCAAAAGCAGTATGTAATGTTGAGATACATTACTTGGGTGTTGTTCAAGACATGTCACATTACTTTTTATAGGACAAAAACATACAAACAACAAGAAATATTGGCAATCTATCACCAGTTAGACAGTTGCTTAGAGTACAATTAAACCCAGAGGTTCAACGTAAGAAGGAAAGTGATGTCAGTACACTTGTAACGGGGATTTCTGTGCGTTAATAATGTGAAACAGTTCAAGTTTAGATCTGCAGATCTGGGGCTCTGCTGCTACCGTTACTTGCCATCGATGTTTTGCAGTTGGAAGAAGGTGGTCTCGGGTTGTGTGTGGATCCTGAGCTGGAGTCATCCAGTGACTCTGGGCTGGAGGGCCGGCTGTGATGCTGGACAATCGGCTTTGATTGCGTTCGAGTGCAGGGAGGTCCACTGTAGCCTTTTGCACCTCCGTATGAATCTGTGTCAGAGCTCTTACCCTCCAACACTGTGGAGCATTTGAAAGAGCCATGAGCCCTAAATGGCCTCCTCGATGCACTCACTGGCAGCGTGGGAAAGGACGAAGCATGAGCTGCCTTCTGCGGGCATTTAGGAGACTCCGGGCTTCTACTTTCACTGCTGTCGTCCTCCTTACTATGCTGGGGAAGATGCAAAAAGTCTTCTGCCTCCTTTTTTTGATTATTCAGGGAATCACAGCACGGTGAGGAGAGTTCATTGGTGGTTGAGGTGCAGTTATACTCTGTGGGGCTTTGAGCAGAGCATCTGGAATCATCCAAGTCCGGTTGGCCTGGCAGAGGTAGAAAAGTTGAGGGTTTGATAAGGTTGGGGGACGTAACTGTGCCCTGCACCCTTTCCATCAAAAAGTTGAAGTCACTGGGTGCAGAGGCAATTGTTGACTTTCGGGTTGTACTGGTGCATATTTGCACTACAGATTCTTTTTTACACTTGTTGGCATAGTAGTCATCCAGTTCATCCCTTTCATCCCTCAGGTGAGGATAGAAGTCCAGTATGCCCTTTCTAATCTTCTTGTAGCCCAGATGCATGATCTCCAAGATGTTTAGGAAGAGGGAGATTGCAGCAATGCACTGCATGAACACCATGAAGACACTTTTTTCTGTTGGTCTGGAAACATAACAGTCCACAGCATTCGGACAAGGATCCCGCTCACACTTGAAGAGCGGATAGAGATGAAAACCATAGAGAACATACTGACCTGTCATGAAGACCACTTCAACAACAGAGCGGGTGACAATGTGAGCCACATAAGTACGCAGCAGAGAGCCCCTCAGAGGAGCTTTGTTAAGCTTTCCTTGGTCGAGCTGCTTCATTTCCCGCTCAATCCTCTTCCTGGCCTCCGCCAGCTCCACATCAACCAACTCCAGCTCCCTTCGCAGCAGAGCTTTTTTCTTCTGCCGTTCCTTCTCCAGAGCCCGGAGCCTGTAGAGAGCGTGGCCCATGTAAACTAATGAAGGCGAAGACACAAAAATGACCTGCAGCACCCAGTAGCGGATCAGGGAGATTGGGAAAGCCAGGTCATAGCACACATTTCTGCATCCGGGCTGCTCAGTGTTGCATATGAAGTCAGCCTGCTCGTCATTCCACACATCCTCAGCCGCCACCCCGAGGACCAGCATCCGGAAGATGAACAGGATGGTAAGCCAGATTTTGCCTACCATAGTCGAATGGATATGCACCTCCTCCAAAATCCCCCCAAGGAAGTTCCAGTCCCCCATCTTCACTCTGCCATTATGACTGATGGAAAGTCATCAACAGAGAGAGAGTAAATAATGGGGAAGAAAATCTGCTGAAATAGTTTAAAATATATAACTAGAAACAGTATAATCAAAGATACAGTAACAAGCAAACCTTTGAAGAATTAAGTTGGATTTTAACCAAATAATAACATAGTAAGTATTTTACATTTAATGAACATGGTATAAAATAGCCTAACTTGCAGCAAACCACTAATAGGAAGAAAACAATCATTCAGATTTCTCAGAAAGACTAGAAATATCAATAAAACGCTGTACCTCTCAACTGGAAAAATGAAACATTAACAAGGAGAAAACTTGTGAAATAAAAATGCCACCATGTCACATATTTGCAGAAAGATATATTAGCAAACAAAGAGGAATCCCAGGAGACTGGTAAGGGCTGGTAAGGTGTCCAGTTTTGTCTTGATCAACCCTTCCCCACAGCACGATCATTATATATATCATGGCAGAGTCCTGAGTAGTGTGATCCAGTTACCTTGCAGCGGCATGGACAGACTGCCGATGGTGACTTAAATCTCCTCGGGTCATGCAGCCCTGGCACGGTCACCAAAAAGTTTTAAAAATCGTTACTGCCCTCCACGAATCCCTGCACATCACCTAAACTTTCGTGACCCGCCTCTGTTGCAGCGTTGCCAGAAACAACGAGGGAACAAGTGAACTGCGGAGGGAAGGCTGCCAACACTACTCTAACCAGGGGAAGTCGATACCAGCAGCTTCACCAGTGCATTTAGATCATGGCCTCATAATGATGGGGTTGTAACCAGTTGTAACACAGATATTGACTCCAAACTTTGCAGGTCAGAGCTCATATCTATATTTTTAAGTATATGACCACATAATTTAGGGTATTTTTACCTTTTCCACACAGCAATGCGCCATTCTTTCAAAAAAACACATGGTTGCTGGTACAATTGGGTGTGTGCATTAGACGTGGCTGTAAATAGCCACGCTGTTTCCAAATTACATGCTTTGGAAGCCCAGACAACATGCTTCAGATTTGTTAGCACTCAATTGTTCAAGTCTGTTTGTTCCATATGTCCGAATGAAGAAATTATCAATACCAGTCAGTTATCCACACTGGCCTCGTTCAATCAATAGTTTTCTACTATAGTGAAGTAATCAATGAGTCATCATGTCCGATTTCATACTCTGCTGCTTCTCTCTGAATGTAATTAAGTTCTCATGCACTTGACACATTATTTATTCCATTTACAAGAAATCTGTCACAGTGGATTAGCGTGCTGGCCAACTGCTGCCTACCAGCTTTACACCACGCCATTCTAAATATCTCTAAATGCCTCTGTGTGGTGATTCTCCTCGATGTGGGTTTATCATGATATCACATCTTCAGATGGAATGTTTATTGGTTGCAGTGTTGTTTTACAAAGGTAGAAACAGAAGTAAAACTAAGTCCAGAACCTTCCTAGATTTTGAGTAATTTAAACTGAACTTTTCCCCTCTGACCTGAAATATTTTTTTTCTGACCAGTAGAGCAGGATTGATTCAAACCCGTCTAGTATAAACACAGTGGGGGTACAACGGGTCACACTGGAGCAACATATTGGGAAAATCCCAATGTTATTTCCCTTTTGCTTTATGGCAGTCAATCTTTACTTTAGTCCATTGCTTAACGCTCTACATTTACTTTTATGAGCGAGTATGTATGAAACGCAGCATTTCCATCTGTTTTCTTTAAATTCCAAGGATCGGAACCTTTTTATGGCTACGCTGTTAATTTCAGTACCTTTATTTTGAAACTTTTTAAGTTAGATAAGTCAATGTAAAAACAACAGCCGCTTATCAGCAAATATTTATTTGTCAGCCATTAGGACAAACTTATGTAATGCAAAACTAGCAACATATCATTTCATACTGTTTGACGTTTGAGGCAGATACAGTGCCTATAAAAATGAACACAGGGAAAGAGAGTTCTACAAGATAATGTCAATTATTTTAAAAAATAAAATAAAATTAGAGAGTGGCAAAGCGAAAGACACTGTTGAAAAAGTCTCCACTAGTGTTCACCAGAAGCCATGTGAAAGACTGAAGTCATCCGGAAAAAGGTTCTTTGGCCTGATGAGATCATAATTAAGCTTTTTGGCCATGAGACTACACACTATGTTGGGCAGACACCAAACACTACACATCATCACAAACACACCATGAAGCATGGTGGTGGCACCATCATGAAACGAGGACACTTCTCTGCAGCAGGCCCCAGAAGGCGTAACAGGTAGATGGTAAAATGAATGCAGCAAAGTATAGTGATGTACTGAAGATATACTTCTTACTGCAACCAGTAAGAAGAGCTGTTTTCTAGCAAGACAACAGCTGACAACATGCAGCCAGAGCTACACAGACATGGTTTAAAAACAAATCGCTTCAGAGTTGGCATATTATAGCTGTTAATTTATGACTGGATTTGAAAAGGGCTGTTCATGATCTCGGTGTAACTTGACAGAGCTTGAGCAGTTCTGCATAGAGGAATATGGTGAAGTTACATAGTCCAGATGTGCAGGGCTAATTGAGACAAATCCCCATAAGCTTAACACTGTGATCTACTAAATACTGACTTGAAGGGGGTGAACACTTATGTAATCCCTTTATTTTCCATTTTTTATTTTTAACTGACATTGCTTTGTAGAATTCTGTTTCGCATTGACATGAGTGTCTTTCTGTAAATTTTTGTCAAAAAAACACAAAAACAGTCAAATCATATTGACCCTGATTTAATGTGGTAAAGCAATAAAAGTGGAAAACTTTCAAGGGGGGGTGGATACTCTTTATAGGCACTGTAAGTTATAATGACTACATATTGATGCACTAAGTTATATTGATGCGCTGAGTTTGGAAACTATGGAACTTTCCACATACTGTAAACAGCAAAAGCAGCTGCTGCCACACTGGTACAATCAAATACATGTAACCGAGTCAATGCCGGCACCAAACCGCAAGCAGTTACTGATTATTCTGCAAATACTCAACAGACAAAATCAGTGGCTTCAAACTGTTTGTGCCGGAAATCAGATTCAGTTTAACAAAACACATTAATAAAAAAATCAAACTTTATTAAAAAAAACATTTTCTGTGGAAATGTAAAACCAAGAATAGAAGGTCTCTAGTTCATGTTTGGCCATAGTTTCTGCCTAATTCTAGATAAATTAAGTACAAATGAGATCAGTTTCTGAATCTGTAGCCCTCTGATGCCCCTTGTCACAAAAAAATATTTAAAATTTTACATAAAAAGTTTTTCCTTTTTAAACTTCCACAACAGAAAATGTACTCTCATTGGACTATAACTTATACTTAACACTCGACATTTAACAATTTCCATACAGTTAAAAAGGGGTATGGTACAACATCCACCAGTGTCTCTAATTAGCAATAGGTTACGGATGGTGTGTCCAAGAGTTGTTTCACATCTTTGAGCATTATTACTCATCTCCTTTGAACAAGATCCGACTTAAACAGCAAACAGGCAATAAAGCCTGAAGCAGCTCTGTAGCCGACAAGGAAGGAAAGAAAGAAAGAAAACCGACACTTAGTCTTTTTTTCCTGACACTAGTTTGTAAACTTCTTGTACTACAAAAAAAAAAATGTCCGAAAAAAATGTGACGTATCACAGGATGATATATTTTAATCAGTCATGTGGTGTTTTATTGTGGTGACCGATTTCACCACGGTTAAAGCGCATTTTATGAATATGTAAAGTCAGTAAGAGCTGCTGATAAATAAACCGAAAGCTTTAAAGAGCAAAGAGGAGTGTTTCTGTTAAACAATCGGAACATTATTTCCTATCCAGGACCAGTGTTATGTAATCTCCTGATAATTATAATAAGTACAAAAAGTAAAACAGTTGCACGCAAAACAAACAAGGCAACAGCAAATACGTCCTAAGACAAATGTCAGTGACTCACTGCAATCAAAATTAATCTCCTTTCAAAGGCACAAATTATATCTACGTTTTCAAACGCCTGCAATGCCACACAAACACAGCAGGAGGCGCCCTTCCACTTGAACTCAAAACTGAATCTAAAAAGAGCAAAATCTGATTGATAAAAAAATAAAAACAATGTGTACAACATTTACAAAGTTCCTCAAAAGCAACTGTGCTTTATAACACATCAGTAAAATTCAGCTTCCTGAGTGACAAAAAGGATTTTGGAGAAATAAAGAAAAAAAAAAAGATGAATGCAGCTTTATGAGGCCGGAGAAAGGAAGATGTTGAAGAGTACAGCAAAGAGCACAAAGACTACATAGCCCACTATACAAATCCAGAAACGTGGGTCTTTGAGCAGCTTCTTGTTGTAGGCGCTGAAGAAGACGTAGCCGATTGTCATACCGGCCACAATTCCTCCAAAATGGGCCACAAAGGACACCTGAGAGGAGAAACGGTCAGAGAGAAGTTTAGATTCAGCCTATAGGTCTAATTACCAGCTAACCTGAACACAGACCCTCAACTACTGACATTCGACCTCACTGAAATGTGACTCAAAATACTCGCAGGACCAGTTCAACAGCAAGACAAATGATCAGTAGAGGAACAGAGGAAGGATAAAACAAGGTGGGGGAGGGAATACAGAATCTGGTTTTTAGGGTCTGTGGTCCAGCAATTGATTACAAAGATGAACAAACGACATCTAGTTGGACGGGAACAATGTTTGGTTTCAATTGTCTTCAAAACTAAAACTATGGTTACAAAAGTCAATCTTTATGGATGTGGATTGAAAAAAACAGGTTGTGTGAAAAGCTAGTTTCTGGCTGCAATAGCATAGCAAGTATTGTTTTCACCCTGTGAGTCTGGCTGTGTGCATGTGAGTGTGTTTCATGGTAAAATGTGGTCCTGGAGACTCCTACTGTAATGTGAACTGCCACAAAGGCAGATTCGAGTACTCTGGCAGGAGTTAATATGTCTGTGGACGGACAACACAGGAGTGTCTTACAAAATACACCCAAAAAACTTGACAGGTGTGTCGGTGTGTAACTCTGATTTCAAAAACGTGAGCTCACCCATTAGTATCGATTACACATGTAACAAGAGTAGTAATGACTAACTAAGTGTTCATGGGTCAGAATGTCAACATGTTTATGGGCGTCCCGGCTGCTGTAATCCCATCACAAGATGGTGTCTAGTAGTCTTTACTACTTGGCAGCAAAGAGAGACATGTATCTACAGGAATAATCAAGTCCCAGCGAGCTGCTGATCTTGTCTGTAGCCAAGAGCAAATAAAGCCATTAGCAAACACTCTGAGCTTGGGGAAGGTTTGCTGGATTATAGCTGGATTGCTCTTGAGCCTCTTTTCGTGTCTGAAAATATTTTGGAAAAACCCTGTTTGCTTTTCCCTCTACTGTACGGTGGAAGGATCATACCTTTAAACCGTCCTCATGATTGGCAAATCTTCTGTAGAAGGCAAATCCAAAATCTACGCCAACTGGAAGAAGAAACCAGCATTAAATCAAACATTTCACTTCTGTAGGTGGTTCTATAGGTGTAACCAAAACACACAGCAGGACTTACCAATTAACACTATGGCGAGGATACGAAACACTCCAAGGAGAGGGATCATCTCTCGGAAATTCTGTGAATTAAAAAGATCAGCAGCTGTAAAGAGCCACACCAGTGATTTATCTCAACACAGTGAAGGTGTGGTTCACTTCACAAGACAGACATTGCACAATTTTAGGAAACTTCAAAACAAAAATACATAGAAAATTAGTTGTCTGCTCAGAAGAGACACACACATTCCTTTTAACTGACATTATAAAATGTAATGTAATGATAATTAGGTTTGTTTTTCAACTAGTGACGGACAGACACTGTGAGATCCAGTTAACCTTTAGATATATTAGGGCCCCAGCGAAATGTAGTTTTTCATCTAAGTTCTCTATATATACAGCATCCTTCAGATATTATTATTATTGGTCATTTGTCTCCCAAAGGCTTCAGTTCAAAACATGCATTAAAACATGTCCAGTTTTATTCATATACTTTCTAAAACACTATTCTGTGGAAATACAAAACTAGGCGTGGAAGGTCACAGCAACCCGGTTGTTATCGTAGTACAAGTTGAGATCTGTTTCCAGAAATATAGTCTGTTACTCAAATCCCTTCTCACGAATAAACAACAAAGTAAACATAGAGATTCTTCTGGTAAACTGTTTTTTACACTCACCACCACTGCGTTCATGAAATAGCCTCCGATTAGGGCATAAACGCCCCCAGAGGCTCCCACCAAGGCACTGAGAGGATCAAAGATGGAACTGGCCAAAGAGCCTGAGGGAGAAACAGCCACAGATTTCAAACACTCCCTCGGACACAAACAGGAAAAACCAACGTCAAGACGAGTTAATGTCAGATGTCTGGATGCCAAACGTTCACAAACACTTGTGAAATACACTTCGCTTTGTGAGCTTTGGTTGCCTGTTTTTGAGGAGCACGAGTGAGAGACAGACTAAGAAAGGCAACGCAGACCTGCGAGGACGCCGGCCAGGTAAACCATTCCCACTTCAAATCCTTTGTGGACCAGTTCCAGCGGGATTCCCAGCAGCAGCTGCATTAGCAGGTTCCCCACAATGTGTTCCACTCTAGAAAGACCAATCAAATGAATATACTTAAGAAAGGAGGAGGAGCACAGAAACATACAGGAAGGTGGACAAAATAACAGAGACACCTTTAGCCCTGCAATACAAGCGTTGATCTATTTTGATGGGTGTTATTTTTCACACATCAAGCACAATAACAAAACCACTGGGTGACATGAATTAAACATCTCACGATAATGCGTGGGTCCTGCCATTCATGTGGATGCTACTATGACGCTCCACCTAAACATCGCTGCAGATCTAACACACCCCATATAGAAACAGGACTCCCCAACATCAGCAGGTCATCACGCCGCAAATCTGGAGCACACGGCTCAAGAAACATGACAAGTAGGACCTACACAAGATAGTTTTAAAGCTGTGGCTGACGTGTATATTTTTGTAAACAATGCCAATAAAAGCCTTCAGCATCTTAGTCCTTGGTTACACCTCCCATCTAACCCTGTGCCACTGAAGCCCCAAGTTGTAAAACAGGGGTGTCCAATCCTGGTCCTCGAGGGCCACAATCCAGCTCATCATCAAGCTCTGCAGAAGTCTGATAATGATCCTGATCATTTGAATCAGGTGTGTTGGAAGAGGGAAACATCTAAAACATGCAGGATTGTGGCCCTCGAGGACCAGGATTGGACACCCCTGTTGTAAAACAAGCTTTATTAATATAAAAGGAGAATGAGAACAAACTGTGCTGCTATTCTAAGCTACAGAGTGATACATATGAGAGAAAGGCAGGATTGATTCAAAGCAGTCTACGGTGCTCATATTCATTGTAGCAAAGGAGCACGTCATGCCGATGCAACAGCGTGTCTCGTTTCCCAGAGGAATGAGCTATATCTGGTTTTGCAGATTCATTGTTGGTTTTCGTGTTGTTTTTGAAAGTAAGAAAACCCCAGAAAATAACCAGCCTCATCCTTTAAGAAAACATCCTGGTAGGTGTTTCCCACTTAGTGCTGCTGACAGGCTGTGACCACTTTTCCTCTTTGCTAATGCAGTTTTCCTGTGCACTCAAGATGTTCCTGTGGCTTGTGCACTCACAATCTTCCAGACGTTTTGCTTGCTACAGCATGTACATTTGCAGTGTTTTTACAGATGTGCCTGCAGTCCAGGCCTAAATGTAGCGCCCCTCCTTAAATCGTCTTCAAAATCGACTAATAAAACGGAAGCTGGCAGAATTCTTGAGACGCGAAAGGTACTCGGCTTCGTATGACTCAGCTCTGTAGGAACTGATTTGCAAAAGCCACTGTTGCATCAGCTAAAAATACATCATGAAGTAAGTAAGCAAAGGGAGCACTGGGCTCAAACTGCAATCCTAAAAATGACCACAGAGTTGAATCAACGCCTCTGACATTATCGAAAACCCACAAAGATTCGAACCCACATCAAACTGTTCTTCACTGCAGAGTCTGTGGGAATTTTTATCTCTTTTTTTCCACTAATCGAAGCTTTTTCTTATGTGATTACGGTATCTACGAGCCCGGCCTATTCTTACCCAGCGTGGACAAACATGTAGGAGATAAAGCGCCATGCTTCCTCTCTGCGCTCTGCACGGTATGTCAGAGGGCTCTTCCAGATGCCTTCCTCCAGGGTCACCCACTGCTTCTGAGGCTTCCACACAGCGTAGTAGATAAACACCGCCAGCTGATGAAGACCAGAGAGGGGACGCAAAAGTTAGGTTTTATGTGTGAGAGTCGAATATGTTCACTTTAGCCCTGCGGAAATTGTTAAAAACAAATATCACGAGTGAAGCTAAATCCAAAACAGCTGTGAAAACAACAAAGGGAGGAGAGAGTTAAACATACAGATGTTGAGTTTTCCACCAAGTTGACCTCACAACCCCCAAGTGTGATCATACAGAGCAGCCTGTAGGCCTAAATGCTTCTATCTATACAAGTATAGAGCAGCAGCGCACTGAGCAAGAACCAATTGATCTTCTCTGGATAAATACTCCCTGCAAATAAGAAAGTATTCACAGGCATTCAAATGCAGTGACAGTGGACATCTGTGAGATACAAAGAGTGAGCTGTTCATTCAAACGTGGGAACAGACAGTGTGCAAACACATAGCGATAAGAAAGAGAGGAGCGAGAGCCTTTACACCGAGTCCAACATGGGACTAAAGGGAAAACTAACTTTAACAGTAGTTTTATATTTATATATGGGTGTAAAATCAATCTAAAAAATAAATAAATATGGGCCACACTTTACTTTAAGTTACCATATTTAGTATTGAGCGCTGTGGAAAAATTCAGTAAGTGGTTTATAAGACACTAAAGTTGTACGCAGACATAAGGCCATTCTAGGTGGTAATTACTGTACAGAATTTGTTAACAATATCCTATATTGTTAGCAGTGTGCTGTTTTATTCATCATCTGTTTATACACCAGCATCCAGGTCAGTTGACTTGAATATTAGCACAGAGGCTCCCAACCTTGTTCCCCTGATGTATCCCCACAGCCCTGTCCCAAAGACTCATAATGAATACCTTCATCGATCATTATTACATTTATGTAACATTAAATTATATAAAAGTCAACATTGTTAAAATATTTCATCCAGTTAAAGCTATTTATTCTATTAGCTATCCAATACTTTTACCTTCCAACCACTGAAAGTTTATTCCACAGATTTTCTATTAAGTTTTTTACATACAGTCCACCATTTATCCTTCCATAAATTATCTATACACCGCTTAATCCTCACTAGGGTCACGGAGGCTGGAGTCTATCCCAGCTGACTCAGTCCATCACAGGGCTACACTTAGAGACAGACAACCAAGCACACTCACATTCACACCTACAGACAATTTAAAATCACCAATTAACCTCAACATGTTGTTGGACTGGGCTGCAAGGTGGCGCAGTTGGTAGCACTGTTGCCTCGCAGCCGGTTCATGTCCCGGTGGGGGCACCGGAATCTTTCTGCGTGGAGTTTGTATGTTCTCCTCGTGCAGCGTGGGTTCTCTCCGGGTTCTCCGGCTTCCTCCCACACAGTCCAAAAACATGTTGAGGTTAATTGGTGATTCTAAATTGTCCGTAGGTGTGAATGTGAGTGTGCTTGGTTGTCTGTCTCTAAGTGTGGCCCTGCGATGGACTGGCGACCTGTCCAGGGTGTCCCCTGCCTTCGCCCTAAGTCGGCTGGGATAGGCTCCAGCCCCCCCCCCTAATGAGGATTAAGCGGTGTATAGAAAATGGATGGATGGATGTTGTTGGACTGTAGGAGGATGAGCAGCACCTGGTGAGAACCCACGCTGCACGGGGAGAACATGCAAACTCCATGCAGAAAGATCCTGGGTGTCCTCACCGGGACATGAACCGACAACCTTCTGGCTGCGAGGCAACAGTGCTAACCACCGAGCCACCGTGCAGCCCCTACCATTTATCCAAACAATGTTAACTGTTTTTAACTGCCATTCTTGTCGGTAGCTATTTCAACCATTGATTCACTTTTTCATCATTACATCATTTTTTTAAGTGCTTACATTGATTTTCCACTACTTTTTGGTCAACTGTTAACTGCCCATTCATGAAATTGTAAATTCAGTTTTTTCAAATGAGTGGAGCTAATCCTTCCACGTGTCCTTTGGGGCACTTTCACTCATGGTTGGAATCACTGCATTAACAAAGACCTACAAGTACGTCTTAGTGGGTTGTGTATTTTTATGTATTGCCAAAAAATGCTAAAATTGGGAAAGTGTATTGGTAGAGGCCAATCCTTAGCTGTAAGATGTGAAGGCACACTGTGTGAAATACATCTGTACATAAACTGACCATCTCTTGTAGCAGCTGTGCACAAGTCTTGAATAAAACCAAACCTGCTTCTGTTTGTCTAACATCTTGAAAACATTCCTGGTGGAATCAAAGTAAAGGACAACATCATAAATAACCTCCTTTTTAAATCCTAATTATGGGGAAAATGAGGCCGCATGATCCTCCCCCTCTTTTTTTTTCTATTTCAACAAGCCTCCCGCTGATCGACCACATTCCACGAGATGTGTTTATTTACCTGAAGTCAAGGCAGCTTTTCTGTTTACACACTGAGGGAAAGCACCTCCCACCGGTGGGGATCAACTGTACCCAGTATAACCTAAAGCTACTACTCATAAAATCTGCTGTTTGTATTGACACTGTGCCTGCTGCCTGCCTTGTGGGGACTGCACTTGATGGATCAGCACTAGCAGAGGAAGCTAAAAGAAACAGTAAGAAAGAACGAAATGAACCCTCACGGCTGCACAGGAGCTTCTCAGTATAGACCTTGTTTAGACATTTTCAGCATTAAACAGTCAAACTAAACACTTTTTTTCTAGTGACGTCCTTATTAAATGGTATCACATCCAGTCTTTTAGAACTTCCCTTCAACATCTGCTCTACCAAATATAATTACAGCAAATCTATACAGTAATTAACACCACGGTGGCATGCATGGCAAATGTAGGCTGCATGTTTTATAATTAGTTCACAGAATCCATACTGAATGTCCCCAGCGCTGTGTGTACATGCGGGGCACAGCTACCTCTCCGATGCTGATGAGGATGATGAAGATGGGGGGTGGACAGCAGTTGGCACGTTCCAGGTACTTGCTGCGGGAGTCTTCTGGAAGCATCCACTTGGAGACGGACCTCTGGAACTTCTCACAGCATCCCATATTCCTGCCGCCGTCCTGCTGGTCCTCTCCATCCCTCACCTGCCTCCCGTCTCTGTCCACAGGAAACGGCTCCTGCTGCTCCAGGTCGATGTCGTCCATCACTGCTGCAGCGCTACGGGGCAGAGTGTATGAATGTGACTTAGTGCTGCCAAATGTTTACCACGATGTGATGGTTATTTGTCGACCATGAACAGGTTGCTGGTTTATAAGCGTTTGCATAAGAGGGCTGCACTGGTTCAAGATTCAAATAAAATGAACAGCACATTAATAATACAGTCGTGACTCGATAATCCGACCATTAACAATCTGAAAATCTTGCTATCCGACAGGTTTTTAGGAAAAACGAACAGAACTCATGAAAAATAGCCTTAACATACCGACAGCCTTAGATTCCAACTCCGACATGACATTTTATGTCACAAATAAGAATAACGGCGTATTATTTGACTGAACAATCCCACAGATTGGCTACGTTCAGACTGCAGGACTTGATGCTCAATTCGGATTTTTTTGTGAAATCTGATTTTTTTGCGAGTTCATTCACATTTCCAATTAAATGCTACTTGTATGTGATCTGCTGTGTGAACTTCATACGATCGACCCAAAAGTGTCTCGCATGCGCAGAAGAGGACACGACGACGTCACACGCAGCGAGCGTGCTCAGTGTTTAAGTAAACATGGATGGTGGTGGTGGTGGCGATGGTGGAAACAGAACTGTGACCGCTATCCTAAACTGGCATCAGCAGCCAAATACTGCCTGTGCGTTCCGGTCACTTCCACCCTGTCAGAGCGCTCCCGGGTGGAAGCGGTCCCCCAAACGCGCCGAATATTCAGATATTCATCATTAATTGGGCCTGAATATCCAGAGACCAGAAAGTGTTATTCAGACCAGCCCTACTAGTTATTATAACAACTATGAACAATAATTATCAACAAATGAGCCTTCCAGCATCAAGCCCTCCTTGTATCTCGTCCTCCGTCTTGACAATCCGACAGCCTTGCTATCCGACATAAAAGGTTTTACATTTAGTGTTGGATTATCGATCACGACTGTAATTGCATTTTTTTCTGAGTAATAACTGACAACCTGATTTACATCTTGAAATATTATCAATAAATATTTGTAATTCCAAACAAGGCTGCAGTACATCTTGTTTCATCACTGACACAAGCACAGCACGTTTAGCAAATTAACTCCAACACATCAACTTAGAAACTTTTTTGTTGCTTGATACAAAAAGAAAAGTCAGTTTTCATTATCTGAGACCAAATGTACACGACAAGCCTGTCTGATAAAATTTCTTAATTTTAAACTTTATTTAAGACACACAGTTTGTTGAGCGAGTAACAGGAGTGAAATGCTGAAAAGGAAGAAATGCAATATGGCCTGTATGGAAATAACTTTGTCTCCAGAGAGGATGATGTTGACCAAAAACAGGTACTCTGTCTGCAGCGTAAGATAAGTAAAGTCAGATCTAAATGCCATCCAAAGCAAAGCTGTAACTATTAACTGATTACTCGGTTAGTTGTCAACAATTAGATAAATCCCAAACTACTCTAATTATCAATTTATTAGCTTATTTTCAAAGAAAGAAAGAAAAAGACAAAATTCTTGAGCTTCTGAAATTTGAGTATTTTCATTTTTTTCTCCCTCTTCTGTGACAGTAAACTGACTATCTTCAGGCTGTTCACAAAACAAGACATTTGAGGACACCGCCTTGAGTTATAGACAACAGCGATAAGACATTTTCACCATTTTCTGACTTTTCATACGCCTGAAAAGTCATCGCGAAAACAATAAACAGATTAATCAACAGTGGAAATAATCCCCAGTTCAAAACAAAGAACTATTTCAAGCGCCTTGGTGTCTTTGTGGTCATTTCTGCATGTCTTAATCACTGCTATGCATCAGTCTGGAGTCATCTGACATTTCTTTTCAGTTCCTGTGTGTTTTGTTTTCGTCATTAGTCACAGCCTATACTTATGTAATGATTGTTTTCCATCTGCTGCATTCTCGTCCATACAGAACTACAACAAAATGCTCTATATGTACAAATGAAACACAGTTAACTCTTGTTATAGAGTATGAAAGAGTTTTTTGATGTAAGTGTAGACTTTCCAGTGACACTCCTCTCTTTTTAAGCCTCACCACAACTGTCTCCACAATTATGTATTTGATGTTGCCTGAACACTGTAAAAAGATGCATTTGAGCTCTAATGAAAAACACTGACAGCTTCAGCTTCCAGAGTGACCCACAGCTGCTCTCTGCATTTCCTCCAAAACACTCACAGCAAGACGATCTGTGGCGTTTCCTGTTTGTATCTGATTGTAATTCAGATTTTAAGACTCGACCAGAAAGCAGTTGAAAATAACATCTACTGAAGGCTCCTTTTTTTTTCTCTCTCTCTCTCTCTCAATGAGATTAACTTTGGCCTACTCACCTAAGCCTTCGACAGGAACAGTGCAGATGGCTCCAGGCGGTCCCAAACGCATAAATATCGACCCCCTCACTAAACTAATTCAAACAACTCAATGCGCGAGTTGAAAAGTGCACCGGTTCACAGATTGTGCCAAAGTTCAGAATACGGTTCTCAAAAAGAAAAAAATCAACTAACCCTCCATGTTTTCACGGCAAACCCCTTCTTTAAACTGAGCGTCCCCGTCAAGAGTGGAAGATGAAGAAAGAAAAAAAAGAAACGCAGTGGGAGATAATTATAGCCCTTTCATCGCTTTTTCCTGTAAAGAAACTTCCTTCCCTCGGAACAAACAAACCAGCGACGCTTCCCTCCGTCCTCCCAGTTGCTCTACAGCCGCTTTGCAGAACCGTCTTGTGCTACCGAACGGCGCCCTTGCAACAACCGTCTACCTGTTTCCCGGTGCCACACCTGGCCTCCGTGACGTCACGGCGGGGGGGGACGTCACGGGGAGCAGCTGCGCGCGCTCACAAAACACAAATACACAAAGCCCGGATAAAGAGTGTTTTTAATTAGAGAGGCTCCTATTTAACTATGCTATACAGCGCGCAGTTCAATAAAGAGCCCTGATGCTTAAGTGGCACTTTTATTATTAAAAGTGTAGTTGGCGAAAGATGCCGCAGGGGGGCGCTGGAGTCCACAGCACAGGACAATGGGCTTCATTTCCTGCACCCTGGTGAGCGCATATAAAGGTCTTTATCAATCCCACAGTGGGGAAATGTGCAAGGTCACAGCGGCAATGATAGTG